AAGGAAAAGCAAATGCTAATGGAAGTTACTTTCTTAAGTTTTGTTTTGCCTTCGAAAGTGTAAAAGAAAATGGAGTACAATTTTTTTTAACAATGTGTGTGTGTGTGTGTAACCAACATGTAAAAGAATGCATACCTGTGACTCTGTAAACCTGATAGCTGGAGAGGCCACAAGACCTGCAAGATCATGCTCCATGTATTCAAACACGAGATATAAATGTCCTGAAACTCTAGAAGTCACAAGACCTTCAAGCTTCATTACGTTTGGGTGGTCGAGCCTACGCAGTATTATGATTTCTCTTGCCATGAATCGGACGCTCTCGGGATCCATGTTTACGAACCTTACTTTCTTTAAGGCAACTAGTTTTTTGGTTTCTAGGTCGTGAGCTCTATAGACGCTGCTATACGTCCCTTGACCAATCTGCACCATATATTCATTTCATAGAACGTAAAAGAGACCGCTATGAAAACAAAAAAACAAGAGAAATATGGACAACAAGTCAACAAAAACAAAAGTAAGGGTCTATGGAGGGTGTGTGCGCGCGCAAACCTTACCCCTACATGAAAGCAGAGAGACTTTTTGCAAGTGACCCTCGAAAAGAGAAACATAGACAATATACTAAGGTTTGTTTACTCGTTGTCACATATGAAGGTCAGATAAAGGTTATTTGGTTGAAATGGCCGCATAATAGATGTGCTTGATTTTAAATGCTTGGTAACATCTATTTCAACTAAATAAGTCAAAGGTCATGTTTGGCAGCCGGCTATGGCTTATTCTTCTTATCAAATAAAAAGTAAGTATACATACTAATAATTAGTTCTTTCATTAGCTTATTTGGATAAAATGGATGTTGCCAAAAGCTTTTTCTTTCATAAGATTCTACTACTTATTATTTTAGCCAACCTTACTAAACGGCCCAAAAGCTATTTATTACGGTGTACCATTCAGGCTTTGTTTGGGTACATTGTCTGTGGTTATTGTTTTCAAAATACAGAAGCTAACTATTACGGAGTATCATTTAAAAATTGCCATTAGATTGAAAGTTCAAAACAAATGTCAAATGAAGCCCTAGCAATAGAATGAACCTTATATAACTATACCTTGGCAATAAACTGCTAAATACACATGACTTGCAAATTCCCAAATGCTTTATTCTATATCGATTACAAGTTTATCCGGTTCTATAATGATGCTTTTTGCAAGAATTTTTATCATTGATGAATTTTATAAAATTGGTTGTGCAGTTTAGGACTACAAATCTCTAGCCGCATACTCCAACTAGTTGAGACAAACAGAAACGAAAGAGAAATAACAAGTGTGTAATCTATCAAACAAAGAGAAAGGTGAGTGAGTGTTAGGAATGGAAAAGACCTTATCTAACTTCTCAAATGAATCCGCCTTTCGTGGGACCCACCCCTTGATAGCTTCCCCCGCCACATCAGTCAGCCATGATGGCCATCCTGCAACAACCTGGGCACCATCCACTCCATTCCTCACTCCAAACACGTTGTCCGTTATCTGAGGCTGTTGCACTTCCACACTGCCTGCCTCTCCGGCGTCTATGCTGGGCCCGCTCATTTGAACGTGGGACCCACCTGGCTTCGTCTCTTCCCAGCTAGCTGGCGGCGAAATGAGCCGGGTAGTGACCTCACTAGTGACATCATCAACCTCGGCAACTACTTCCTCCTTTCTATACGATAACCCGGAACGTTCCGATGAATGTGTCTTGATTTCTTTCGCCTTCTTTATACTGCGATTTCCGGGCTTATCTTCTGAAGATACTACCCCTTTTGAACACATACATCCCATGATTTCAAACCCTAAATTTCCCCAAACCCAAATCCCACATTGCCTCTATCCGAATCCTCGGATGAAAAACAAACAACCACACAATTTCTTTGATCTTTTCCCAATCAATGTACCTTAAAATCTGCTTGGATCGATTCCTAAATCCAAATGTAACCAATTCCCAAGTCGATCAAATTGAAATCGAGACCAGTGCCACAGAGCTTCAAACTCAAAATGTGACCCAAAAAAAAAATCCTTGGATCAAGCCCAGATTACAGGGACCAGATTCCCAGAAAATCAAGAAAGCCGACAACCTTAGATCAATCAGAAACCTGGGAAAACGTAAAAGACTCGTTCGATAAAGTTTAGAAACTTTCTTGGCGTGAGAAGGGGAGGAAACGGTTGAGAGAAGTTTGAGTCAAACGTTTGCAATTGTTCACTTGCTCCTGAATTTTCGGTAATAATTTCAAAACAAAAAAGAGAGAAAGAAATGCTCAGAAATGGATAAAAATTGGATCTTTGGGTGGAAAAAAGGGAAAGAAAGAAAAAAAGAAAAGACGGGTTTATCTTCTTCAGTTCGTAGATAGTGACTGACGAGTGAATCTCGGATCCTACCAGTCCGGTAAATGCTACTGACCTTTCAAGACATCTGAGTTTCAACCACAGGGTTAATTAAAGCATCAATATCAGGAAAAAAAAGGAGAAAAGATTTAACCAAGAAACCTGCAAAAGAAAAGAGAGAAATGTATGGGAAAATTGAGAAATTGGAGAGTTCTTCTTCCCTACCAAACGGGGAGAAGAATTACTTGATTGAGATAGACATGGACGCCTCGTGAAGGAAAAATGAACATTCCAAAGAGTGCCAGAATCGTGTATGGTAATCAATCATTTACTGTGGTTTATTGCCACGCCATACTGCCAAAGTTTTTTTTTCTTTGTCTAGTAAAGAAAATTAAGACCAAAGAACTCTAGAAGACAAAATGTCATCCACTCCCTTTTTTTATTTTTTATTTTTTGTATATGATGTTTTTAACTCATTAAATAATTTCTTGAACAAAAAAAAATGTTTTTGGTCCATGTAAAATACGGAGTAAGTAATTTGTTTAGTTCGACTCAAAAACTTTTTTAATTAAACTCTATCTGTAAAATACACACTCTGTTTCAAAAAACAATTCTTTTATTTTAATGTGTAAAATTTTATCTTTTTTAAAATAATTTTATTTGCAAATTCGCATAGAAATAATAAGTAAAAATATATCTATATTATTACTATATTATTACTGACTCTTTTTAATTTTTATATATATTATATATTATATTATATATATTACATATTATATATCTATATATTATCACTGACTCTTTTTATTTTTTTAGTGTCCTGAATTGATAAAAATTGAAAGTAAAACACCACGATGAAAGTTAAATCCTTTGTTATTATAGGAGATTCAAAGTTGAAGAACTCTGATTTTAAAGTATTGCACACATGTCTTAGGGCTAGGATTTCTTCAAATTTTAAACCAGGAAAATTGGGCTGTAGATTTTAGTAATTGGCGGGTAAATTGGATGAGTACTTTATGACTGTGTTTTTATATATATATAATAGATGAGGTTTGAAACAACTCACTAAATTTAATTTTAAGAAAGCTAATTTAAATAATGGTTTAAAGTTACAAAATAAAATTTAGAGAAATTTTCATGGGTAGGAATAAATTCATTGCAAAGGACAGGAATAGGAGTTCCATAATCTTTTTAGAACTAAAAGTGATACTAAATTTTATTTTATACTCTGATATGTCCTAAACTAAACTGTTTGTTTCGATTTATAATACTTGATTGAAGTTATTTCCAATTTAGTTTATTTAAGAATTATGGAGAATTTAATAAATAAAATCTATATAATCCTTGTTAAAAACTACTCCCTCCGTTCTCCAAAACACTTCCTCTTTCATTTTTTTCACTTCCAACAAAACACTTCCTCTTTCTATTAAAAAACTACTTTTACCCTTACTTTTTCAAACCCTACCTATCACATCATACTTTTTCTCTAATAATCAATCCATCACATCTTACTTTTATCCATCACATCAGAGGCAAAATTGGAAGTCAACTATAATTTTACACTTCCTTAATTTGCCTTATTTTCAAAGTGGGGAGGGTTTTCCCAAACGGAGGGAGTATATCATAAGATCTTCGAAACAAACGATGATATCACTAAATTACGAAATATTTTTATTAAATGAATAAGGAAAATGAATGAAGAAAATATAAATAAATAAGCAAAATAGTTCTTTTGACTCTTGAACCTCGGTTCATAAAATTGATGTTCCACTGCTTCAAGCCTTCAAATCTATGGGCTATACCTCTACAAGGTTGGCGATCTGACTTAAATTGCTTTGTAATTAAAAGTCATATTTTATTTATGGGCAAGTATCTTTTGCCCCTTGAACTCCGGGTCAAATTATGATTCGAGCCTCTACGATGCTCCGTTCGTAAAATTGATTGTTCTTGTCCCCTAAACCTTACCCTTGCTCCCTACATGCTCACCCCACCCCAACACCCCCTGCCCCCCACCCTCTCCCAAATATTGTAGCCAATTGGCGATTTGGAAAGGAGGCAGGGGTAGGTTTTAGGTAGACTTGATAAAAAATGATCTGATCTGTTGTTGACTTGAGACCCGACTCGAAAATATTAGGTTTTGAACAAATGTTTTGCTGATCGAACTCAAAGTTGATCAAACCCAAAATTACCAATTAAAAATGGGTCAAACCCGAATCCGACATGACCGACCCGCTAATGTAAGAAATTTTCAGAATCATATGCTTTAAAATGTACTCCGGGTAATAGAATGTTATAAAAAAATAAGATTTTAATTATATTTCTTTGCTTACTACTCGTTTTTAATGTATAAATTTATATATTCATACAAAATTTTAAACATATCGTATAATTATCTTACTTTTAAAAAAAAATTCTGCACATTTAGTTTTTTTATTTGTAATATTGACAATCTATCATAAATTTTACTTAAAATTTCAAAAAATAAATGAAAGTTATAACCCGTTGGGTCGATCCAAACCTGATAATATTGGGTGATGAACATGTGGCTCTTAACCCGAACCCGAAGTAACTTGAATCCGATCAAATCCGAATCCAACCATTAATTTTACTAACGGAGAATCGTAGGGACTCGGACTCGAATTCAAGGGTCAAAAGGTACTTGCCCATGAATAAAATAAGGAGTATGACTTAATTGATCGTCTACCTTGTAGAGGTATAGCCCATAGATTTGAAGCAGTGGAGTTGACAGTAGAACTGGTATGAAGATACATGGCGCAATGGGGAAGCAAAGCCGCAGGCTTGGGGAGAGGCTTTTACCATTAACCCTCTGAGAAATCTTCTTCCCCCCAGCCGCCCCACTCTCGCGATTGCTACATTCCACCTTCCCTCAACGGCTCAACCTTTCTAGCCTCATCTACTTCGGGCATTTCACCTTTCTTCTCCACCCCCACACATTGTCGCGGCCGGTCTTGATGAATCTTGGCGATTCTGGTTCTGTACATTGGGATTGGCACTATAAGACATGGCTGTGAGGGCTGTGCCAATCTGGGTATGCTCTCGGAACCCTAGAAGATCCGGGTCTCGATTGGGCGTTTCCGAGTTCGGGTGTGGGGGTCCCGGGTTCTCGGACTCGGGTTCGGTCAAGAAATGGGCTTGCTGTTCGGCTATGACGGCTGTGGACAAGAAGAAGAAGAAGAAGCCATTGATGCAATCTGGGGTTGCTTCGCCCGTTGGTGGTAGCGGAGTTGAAGACGAGCCTCGGATCACTCAATCCAGTGGGTTTCACAGGGATCTGCAGTCTCTTCCAAGTTAGTTGTTTCAATGCCCACAACAATTCATCTTTTTTTTATATCAATAATTTGAATTTATTATTAAAATAAACAACAATGATACTATTTTAAAAACATATTTCAATATAAAAATCTAAGTTTAACTGGAGTCGTACGTTTCTTTTAGATTGGGTATTTATTGTATGATTGGCTCTATGGGTTCCCTCACTGGGCTGTTTGGGTTCTTGCCATAAGATTGCATGGCATTTAAGCTTCAGATTCAAGCGTCCCGGACTTAGAAACAGACACTCTACTTCTCAGTATGGATTTTGTTGTTGTATTTCAAGCATCTCAGAATTTAAAGAAAAAAATGAGCTGACTATCGTGGCAGACTGTACTCATGCTTGTTCTGCTTATATTTCTTAATTGAGTATTTCTTATAGAAGAGTCACTTTAAAAACTAAAATAAGAAAGATTCTTATTTTGTTTAGAGCTCTCTTTTTTTTTTTGGGGGGGGGGGAGTTATTTGTTTGTCTCTGGTGTCATATTTTCAATGCCTCCAATTGCAGAACCATTGTCGGCAGCCGATCTTTATTCTTATCCTAATGATGCTTCGAAGGTTCGGGTTGCCTATCAGGTAATTTTTATGCACTCTTGGTATGGCATTCTAAGCGTATTGTGTGATAATGGATGCTTATGTACAAAAATTTGAGAATTAGCTTGAACAGTCAAGACCAAGACAATTAACTTCACATATTGCACTTTTACTAATCAGCCACATATCCGAGTTTTCACAATCTCGAACTGCACATTAGCATAATAATTTTCTTTTATATTCAAATTACACTGCTTGCATTTATCTTAATCCTGTATGTGCTTATATCCTACATTTTCTAACCGGTGCTCTCCCCCCAAATTGATGATTTTATACACATTTTCATAATCTCATTCTTACTGCCTGGTGTAGGGTATTCCTGGGGCATATGGTGAGGCAGCTGCACTTAAAGCATATCCCATGTGTGAGACTGTACCATGTGACCAATTTGAAGCTGCATTTAAGGTTTGATTGGTTATGATGAAGAATACATTGCTATTATTTAAACTAATTTGATATTCACAATACCTTAATTGCTTTTGTGGTTTGTTTTTAAAACAAATCAGGCTGTAGAGCTTTGGCTAGTGGACAAAGCAGTACTTCCCATTGAGAACTCTGTAGGGGGTAGCATCCACCGTAATTACGATTTACTCCTTCGTCACAGGCTGCATATAGTTGGCGAAGTTGAGCTTCCTGTTAATCATTGCCTTTTAGGTTTACCCGGAGTCAGGAAGGAAGAACTAAAACGTGTTTTGAGCCATCCCCAGGTGCTTAATATGATTTTTTTTCTTTTGCAAAACATCTACTTCAATCATGCGTAACATTGCAACTTTTTTTCATTTTTTGTTTTTATAAACAGATTATCCTTATTCACGAGAATGGGGATACATCACTCTGGTTGAGAAAGAAAAGAAATTATTTTAACTTGTCACCTATAAGGCACCAGCACCTCTCTTGGAAAAAAAACCCAATTTTTTTTTAATTGAAAGCCCCTTTTTAAGAAAAGAGTATGCCTGCCAGATGGACCCAGTGACACCTGATACCTTGTGTCAAATTGTCAGCTATAATCTCCTGCATCAGTTTGTGATCTCATCATAAAGATCACTCTTGTTTAGTGCTCTTTTAAATGGTTTGATTAACAAGTGCAACATCTCACTTGCTATGGTTTTTGTTTATTGGTCCATATTAATTCAGCATTGATTATGACAATTAATATGATAATCTAACCAATACAAACATTTCATTTGCATTGAAACACCTTATTTATTGCACTAGTTAGGAGACCTCTTTATAACTCTCTTTGAGGGTGTTTGGCAATGCGCTACTTTTAATAATTTAGCTTCTGCTTTGAGTGGAAGTGGTTTTATTCTGTTTGGCATTTCAGCTTCTGCTTTTCACCAACACTATTTTGTACATAGATTACCGTTTCGGAGAAGCATGTATGAGGTGCTTTTGCTTTTAGCTTTTGTAGAAATCAATTTATCCACAAGTTAATCACTCCCAAACACCCTCTTTGTCATATAAAATGTTCTTTTCACTCTCCTTCTGGCTTCTGGCTGTCCCAAAAAAATGATATCATCCCATTTGAAGGTAAAAATTGTGTGACTAATATCAATTTTTACTTATATAAATATGCATCAACCACACAAACTTACTGTCTTAATACATTGTAAAAAGCAACCAAGAAGAACATGCTAGGATGGGGAATTTTTTTTATTATCTTTTAGGTATATTATCATTGTTTTAAAAATCTGAATGGATATTTAATATTCAATTCTGCACAGGATTTAAAATTTGTAGCATATTTGTGAATGATTTTTTTTTTTTGAACTTCAGGCACTGGATCAATGTGAAATGACTTTGAATCAGTTGGGTGCTGTTAGAGTGAATGTCAATGACAGTGCAGGTGCTGCCCAGGTAACTCTTTTGTTGTTTATTTGCTCTCTATTTTTTGAACGGTTATTCCACCATTCATTCCTACTGATGGTCCACATTATTTTAACACCCAAATAGATGGTAGCATCTGAAGGGACAAGAGACACTGGAGCAATAGCTAGTGCTCGAGCTGCAGAAATTTATGGCCTTAATATCATTGCAGAATTTATTCAGGTGATGTTATTTTCTCAACAGTGTTATATGCATAAAGTACAAGATTCATTGAGGAGCATTAATATGAAATGGAGAAAGTATAAGATATACTCTAAAAATCCATGTTTCGCATATTTCATTCTAAACTTCATTCATCCTTCCCTACACTTTTTTATGAACATTTATATAAATAATTAACTCCATGGAATTTTATTTCTTTTTCTGGTTAAAAGGGTTTTAGAATTGTCTTGGGACATAGGGGGTGGGGTATATATGATCAGAATGAAAAAAACCATTGTTTAGCCTGACAAGCTTTGTTTAAAGTTCTAACAACTCACTGTTTCATTAAATTATTTGTAACAACAACAATTACCCCTACCTAAAGCAACACTTCCTAAATTTGATTTTATTTTCTAAACTCCATTTATCAGGATTACTCGAGCAATATTACCCGTTATCTGATACTTGCCAGAGAACCATTAATATCTGGAACAGACAGGCCGTACAAGGTAACTTTCATCCATTAATCCAAATCTCTCTCTCCCTCTCTTTCTTTTATGTTTCTTGAGGAAGTTTGAAAGTAAATGATCTTGTTTGGTTAGACTAGCATTGTTTTTGCCCTAGAAGAAGGACCCGGAGTTCTATTCAAGGCCTTAGCATGCTTTTCTCTGAGAGACATTAATTTGTCAAAGGTAACATTATGGTCATGTACTGTTTTCCTTTTCTCCTATGGTTTTCGAAAGGCTCGGATTTTGTTTATAAAATTTACACAATGTTCAAAACAGATTGAAAGCCGCCCACAGAGAAACAATCCATTGAGAGTAGTCGATGCTTCCAATAAAGGAAGTGCCAAGTGAGTGTCCCCATAACTTGTCCATATTTTATCCATTTCTGTGGTGCCTTTAACATGTCCTGTTTTGCAGGTACTTTGATTACTTGTTTTACATAGACTTTGAAGCATCAATGGCCGAACCACGTGCACAATATGCTCTGGGACATTTACAGGTCACTTACTTTTCTACTCCATTTGGGATGACTCATTTTCAAAGAAAATTTGTTTTTTTTTACCGGAAATAGTTTTAAAGCAAGGAAATGAAAATGGAATTGCATTATGTAGGCCGTAAAATTTTGTATCTTTCTCACACAGAAATAGTACTCTATCCGTCCCCAAGAAAGTGTCTTGCTTCAACAAAACAAATTGATTTTGATTAATTAAATAAGTTTTACCTTATCAAAAGTGAAACATGATTTAGAGTATGCTTGACTGTTATTATACAGATGCCCGGGGATTGGTTTAGAGTAACTTTCCTGGCATCAAACGAATCTGGACCATATCTTGGTTCTAGTTAACTACCCCTTTCTCATTTTTTTTTAAAAAATTCCCTTTTCTCATTTTATGACATGCAAAAAAAAGACGGTTTATGTTGCAGGAAATTGCGAGATTCATTCGTGTCCTCGGTTGCTACCCGATGGATACCCCTCCATAAACAGGGATGGGGGGGGGTGACTGCCCTTTGGTAGGACATTTAACCCTGTATCTCAACCCTGAATTGCTGGGCAGTTTTCAACTCTCTGTACAGACATTCCAACCAGTATCTCAAGCCTGAATTGCTAGGTTTTTTTTCTTCTTTCAAATTTCTGACTCAGTGCCCGTTCTTACACGTTCTTTAAAAAACAAAACACTTGTTTTAGTGTATATTTTAGTCATGAGAATTGAATGAAACTCAATGTGTATTGTGGTAATAATGTGAATCATTATGTGATTTATGAAAGATGTATTCTTTGTAGCTTTAAAAACAAATCTTGCACTGTGACCACCC